AAGAGGAGCGAGGCTGGCTGGTTACACAACCGGCGACAGGATGTGGTTACTGGATGGTGCATGAGGTGACTGCTCTCCTGTCAGCAGCATGTTTCCGTGGCCCTCCCAGAGGTTCTCCCACCCGCTGCCTCCTTGGCGTTCCTGTCTGCGCCGGACAGCCCAGCTGCAATCTGTACCAAGGCAGCACAGCCCAGCGTGGTACAGGGCATGGGGTGCTAGTGCCAGTTGCGGCTCTGCCTGCTGCTGTGAGAGGCTTGGCCCGAGGGCCAGGCCCCTCGGCTGTAATTGGAGCAAACCCCCAGTGCCTTTTTTGAACAGGGTTCAAAACAGAACTAGACACATTCATGGAGGATAGGTCCATCAATGGCTATTAGCCAGGATGGGCAGGGATGGTGTCCTTAGCCTCTGTTTGCCAGAAGCTGTAAATGGGCGACAGGGGATGATCACTGGATGTTACCTGTTCTGTTCCTTCCCTCTGGGGCACCTGGCACTGGCCACTGTTGGAAGACAGGATACTGGGCTAGATGGACCTTTGGTCTGACCCAGTGTAGCCATTCTTAGGACTGATAGACCAGAGTGGGGTATGGGGGGCGGATGGAAAAGTGGCTTCTCCTAGTTTCACTGTGGAACTCATTGCCAGAGGATGTGGTTGAGGCCAAAAGCTTGTCTCATTCCCCAGATGGACGAGCCGGCCAGGGTTAGGCTAGCGCAGGGGTTGGCAACCTTTCAGAAGTGCTGTGCCGAGTCTTCATTTATTCACTCTAATTTAAGGTTTCGCGTGCCAGTAATACATTTTAACGTTTTTAGAAGGTCTCTTTCTAGAAGTCTATAATAGATAACTAAACTATTGTTGTATGCAAAGTAAATAAGGTTTTTAAAATGTTTAAGCAGCTTCATTTAAAATTAAATTAAAATGCAGAGCCCCCCAGACCGGTGGCCAGGACCTGGCAGTGTGAGTGCCACTGAAAATCAGCTCACGTGCCACGTTCGGCACACGTGCCATAGGTTGCCTACCCCGGGGCTAGTGCCTTCATTTCAGCAGGAATATAAATCTGCCTATTCCAGGGTCAAGCCGATTTCCAGTGGGGTAAGGATGATACCTGCACTAGGGCCTGAGTATCCCACATAGCTTTTGTGGGGCTTTCACCCTCCTCTGCCACTGGCCGCTCTTGTGGACAGGCTGCCAGGCTAGCTGGATCCTGGTTTCGCGTCTCCAGTACTTGGAGTCTTTCAAAGGGTGAGGGGGCGCCAGTCTCTGAGCTGGCTGCAAGAGCAGCTGCAGGGTGGGGATTCTGCAGCCTGGGTTAGCCAGTCCTTTCTGGCTGCGACAGCTGGGAATCCCCACATTTTGCTATGCAAAGGGCTGGATTTTACGTGTGCAGCACCCGACGTGCTGAGAGAGCCCTTTGAAAAGTCTGGCCAGGCCTCAGGCCCTGAGGGACAGCCCAGTAAAAAGTCATAACCCCCATTCAACCTAGTCCTGCCTCATGCGGCTTGTCATCGGTGCAGGGCCCGGCAGGGCTGTGTAGCCTGGGCTGCTCTGTACCCTGAGGCTGACTGCTCCCTGACAGTGGGGGCCCTTCCAAAGCAGGTGAGCGGTCAGACACTGGCACCTGCACCGCACCGGGAGAGCGTGTGGGGGGGCTCTTGGGGTGACCACCAATCAGGCCTTGCATTGGTCAGGGCCATCTGCTCACACACCTTGCCTCCGCCTCCTCACCCCTCTGCACCCAACTCTGGGGTGGGGACAGGCCACAGCCTCACCTTGTGACAGGAAGGGGAGCTGGAAGCCAATGGGGGGAGATGCAATCGGAGCACCAGGGCAGGTCTTGGGAATGGTCGTACACCAAAGCCCTGCCCCTTGTGCTGCCACTTACCCCACTGCCGAGAGCTACTGCCAGGACTTGAGAGAGGAGCCTGGAGACCGGGGGCCCGGAAGTTCAAGGCAGCAGCGCCGGCTTCCTCACCATTCTGATGGCAAAACGTCTCTGCACCACTCCTTGCACAATTCTGGGGAGGAGAAGCGGGTGATTCTCTGCTGCATGCAGCAACCTGCGCTACGGTGGTACCATTCCTGGGGCAGGACTGCAGCACCCCCATCATTCGCTTCAAAAGCGGGGGGGGGGGGGATTCTAAGCACCTCATGCCAGGAAAAGGGGTTTTGATTCAATAAATTTTAAAAAATTCCTTGTAAAAAAAATCCTGCCCTGAGCCCATTGTGCAGGGAGTCCAGGCTGCAGGGGCCCTGGTCTCCATGTGCTTCAATCCTCCACCACCAGACTTTCCCTTAAACCTGTGCACCCCTCCATTCCTAGCACTACCTGACTTCCCACTCATGAAACCCATCGGGCTCCGTCCCTTCCCCTCGCCAAGCCTCACCACTCTCAGGGGCAATGTCTGGTCAATGCGGAACTGCCCCAGCCCCAGGAGATGGCGAGAAAGCCCTGTGCCATGGAGCAGCCTGGCCTCGGCTACAGACATGACTGAGAGAAACCCAGGGCTCAATCCCAAATGGCAGCACCTGAGCCTTGCTGGAAGGTGGCTCTCACCTGCCCCAACGGAGCCAAGGATCAGCGCTTTTCGCTCGCTAGCAACAGGTGAATCGCTCACCCTGCCGATAATGCCTCCCAGCCCCACCACTGGGATGCACGGTCCCATCACACCGACCCCTCTGCTCTCCGCGTTCCTGTGCACCAGCCCTATTGCCATGCAGCCCTTGGTACGGCAGCCAGTCCAGACAGGCGCATTGACCCACCAGCGTGAGAACCCCTGCACAACCCAGGCAGGGCGCTCCCCCCCCCCAGGCTGAGCCATAGCAGATTGCTCACCCGCTGCTGCCATCTGGACTCAGACCCCCCCACCCCCCAGTTAATTCCTCTCCCCGGAGCCTCCCTGCCAACGAGCCTGGACAGCCCTCTGCTGGCCAAACCCCTGGCCTCAGCTCGATCCTCTCAGCTTGTTCAGGGGGCTCTCCAACCCCTCACTGCTTCGGCCCCACCCTATGGGCAGCATGAGCACCAGAACTGGACATGGTGGCCAGTATCAGTCTCATCAACCACCTGCCTCTACTCACCAGGCCCCCATCCCAATGCCTGCATTCACGATTAGCCAGGGTGTGTGCGCTCCCAGATGGGCATCCACGAGGATCCATGCCATGGGGCACTGGGGCCAGAAACGCCAGCTTTCGGGCCTCCAAAAAGGACACTGGAGCTGGTCCCCACCCCCTTGGGCTTCCTCTCCTACTACCACCCCCCAGATCTCAAACCCCCTCCTCCCCAACCCTCCCCCTTCACACTCCCTGTCTAGGCTCCCCCCCACCCCAGGCTCTCCTTATCACCCCACACACACACACCCCCTTCCCCCTCAGCTCTACTCAGTGACAGATCCACGCCCTGCCCCTCCTCGGGCCCATTTCTCAAAGGGTTTGGGGGGCTTATACGCAGGACTCAGCAACACCCCTCCGCCAGCCCCATGGGAGGGAGAGGTCTCCAGCGGTGCTTCACACCCCACCCCCCCCGAGAGACAGAAGCAGTTGAAGATGGTGCCCAGTGCTGGGGGGTTTATTCAGACAGGACATTTCCAACATCATGGGGGGAGGGGGCGGTGTTTTGAGGGTCTCTATAAAAGATCCTTCAGTTCCCATAACTTATAAACATGATTTACACGCAGAGTCTCTAACGGCAGGGCGGAGGAACCCCCAATCCGCTGCTCCTCCTGGTGCTGCTGGGGGGAACCCCCCAATCCGCTGCTCCTCCTGGTGCTGCTGGGGGGGGCTGAGAGGGACCCACCAATCCACTGCTCCTCCAGGTGCTGCTGAGATTCCCCAAACCGTTGCTCCTCCTAGTGCTGTTGGGGGGAACCCCCAATTCGCTGCTCCTCTTGGTGCTGTTTGGGGGGCTGACAGGACCCCTCCCTCAAAGCGCTGGTCTTCCTCAGTGCTGCTGGGTGGGGATGGGATGCAGGCAGGGCCCCCCAAACTACTGCTGCTCCTGTCAGGGGGGCACAGACAGACCCCCAATCCGTGGTGGGTGCAGAGAGCACTCAATAGGTCCCTTGTGTCTCTTTGGATTAGTGTAGGCTGGGAGGGGCGGGGTAGGGCTGAGCAGGGGAGCTGGGGTGCAGCAGCCAGAGAGGTTGTGGCCCCATCACCCCAGGTGTAGAGTCTGCCCCACAGCTCCCTGGGGTGTGAGGTAAGAGGCTGCAGAGCCACTGGTACCCCAGCGATCCAAGGGAGGGGTGTAATTGGCGCAGAGAGAGAGGGAATCTCCCCACAGCTGCACCAAGATGGGGGGGGGGGGGTGTTTGGGGAGGGATCCAACCTCTCCTGGCAGACAGTTGCGGGGTCAGTGCACCCCCACCAGCTGGGACAATCCATTCCTGAGGGGATCCGCCCAGACCCCATCCCCAATCAGTGCAACAGGCCAAGCGACCCCGCCCCCAGGACAGAGCCGGTCCCTCTCCCATTGCTCCGGGGGAAGGACAGTTCCTGAGGTCACAGCGCCCTCTGGTGAGGAAGGATGTCAGCACAGGGAACCAGGCAGAAGAGGGCATTTTACACCCGTCACTGGGTTCACCTACCTGGTGCCCCAGGACAGCCCGCAGCCCCAAGTCCAAGCCACGGGAAGAGATGGGACACTGGGTCCCCTCCCCGAGGCAGGGAGGGTTGCGCCTCCCCTCCCACCAGGGGCTGCTGGGAGAGGCCAGGCAGCACCTGAGGGCCCCAGCAGCCGCTGCCCCTGCACCAGCCAGCTCCTCATTTTCCAGCCGCCCCTGGGGACAGCGGGTCGAACCTTGTTTGGGGCTGAGCAGCCACCAGGGACCTGTCCCGAGGGGCAGACGAGGTGACTGGAACAGGACAGTGCCAGAACCGCCACACTAAGGAGCTCGCCCTAGGGATCAGACCCCTGGGCTCTGTCAGGACCTATCCCGTGGCCCTCGGGGAGGTGCCTGTGTGGGGCAGTAAAGGGGCTGGAGCCCCACACTCCAGGGCTTAACTGGGCAGCACCAGCATGGATGGATGGGGCAAAGGGTCCCAGAGCGGCTCAAACTGCCCGGCAGACTGGGCTGGGGACACTGGAGTGGGGGGGAGGAGGAGGAGGGCTCTAGCCAATGGTGAGGCCGAAGCCGCACTGGAACTTGTTCTTGCGGTGGTTCAGGAAGGCCCCCATGGCCAGCGTCAGGGGCAGCGGCAGCAGCTTCTTCTCCAGCACCGCACCCACAATCCAATTACTGTCCACAGAGCCTGCGGCAGAGAGCAAAGTTAGTGGCACTGGGAGAGGCTGGGGCGCGGGCATAGAGGGGAAGGGCGGCCTGGGGCTGCCGTACCTTTGAAGAGCAGGTTGGCCTTGGGCAAGTCAAGCTGGTAGCCAAAGGAGACGCTAGTGTCCTGCATGCGCGTGCTGGCCTCAAACTCCACGCCCACCTGCAGCTGAGGGGAGCAGGGTTAGTCTGGCGAGCAGAGCTGCCAATCGCCTAGTAGGATCCCAGCCCCCCAGCTTCCACCCCTCCCCCACAGGACCCCAGCCCCCTGGCTTCCATCCCTCCTCCATGGGACCCCAGCCCCCTGGCTTCCACCCTCCCAATGTGATCCCACCCTCCCAAAACACTATCCCAGACCACCCACCCCCAACGTAATCCCAGCCCTCACCACCCAAATCCAGCCCCCAGCCTTCCCCAATGGGATGGCAGCTTCCAGGCTTACAATTTGGAGCAGCATCGACTGTTCCTGGGCAGGACACCCCCCCACTCCCTTGCCTGCCCAGGGTCTCAGCTGTGCACCGCAGCAGATCGCTTATACATAGCTCTCCACATGTCACCTGCCCCCACCCCTTGCTCCCAGACTGGGAGTCAAAGCCCCACCCTCATGTCAAAGGGGGAGCCAGATGGGAACGTGAGCCTCTGAGCGCCACATACCTGGTCATTGGCTTTATGGTAGTAGGTTGCATGGGCCCCGGCTTGCCCCACCGTCAAGGTCCCAATCCAGTTAGGTGCTGTGGGGAGAAGGGAAGAGCGGGTGAGTGTCCGAGCAGGGCCCCACCGAAGCCCTGAGCTAGGGAAGAGAACCCAGGAGTCTCGACTCCCAGCCCCCTTGCTCTAACCCACTAGACCCCACTCCCCTGCTGGAGCTCGGGATATAACCCAGGAGTCCTGCCCCAGCTCCCTCAGTACCTGTGTATTTCCCAGCCAGAGACATGACGGTGCCCTCCTCTCCTGGCCGGCGGTGATAGACCAGCTCGCCGCCCAGCGCTAGGCAGGGTGTGATGCTCTGTAGGTAATGGGCTACCAGGATCCCTGCGAAGAGAGACTCGTCAGCTGGGGCTGGGCCCAGGAGGTTACGAGGGGCGGGGTTCAGACTAGAGGTGATGGTAGGCAGGGACCAGGTTGGGGAGGTGGAGGGAGGGGAAGTGGAGGTGTCAGGGGCTGTGAATGGAGAAGGAGAGGCAGGAGTCAAGCTGGTGGGGGACTTCAGAGACGGGGTAGAATTTCAGAGCAGGGGCTTCAGAGGTGGGAACGAGGCTCTCACCTGAGCCCACCAGGATGTCGGGGTTTCCCAGCGTCACTGCCGCCGTGAAATCCTCCCCCCGATACTCTCCATCCACCTGCCAGTTCACGAACTTGGACTGCTGCGTCTGGAATGAGAGTGGGGGGACATGAGGAGACTGTGGCAACCCCCAGGAGGCACACATCCCCCAGAGGCGGATTTACCATGAAAGAAACAGTGCGGTGGCATGGGGCCCCCAATGACGGGGGGAACGACCCAAAATGCAGGACAAATCTCATCGACAACCTGCCCCCGAGGCCTGGCCGGAAGCGCAGCAGGGAGCAGGCAGGCAGGCTGCCTGCATTCGGTGGCCAGTGGCCCCATGCCACTCCCGGAAGCACCCGGCTGCTGGAGGCGGCTCTGCATCCTGCCCCCACCAGCACACAGAGAGCCGCTTCCCCCCCCCCCCCCCCCGGGGGGCCCCGACCCGCCCCCCCCCCCGCCCCCGGGCGACGGGGGCCCCCCCCCCCCCCCCCCCCCAAGGGGTACGCAGAGACGTGCCACCAGCAGTG